TGGCCACTTTATTGGACAGCACAGTTCTAGACTTCTGCTGCCCTCATGTATAGATGGATATTCTGACTTTTTAAGCCACTGCAGGTCACTTGAAGAGGCTTTTTTTTTTTATTTCAACCTCCAAAGTTTGTGCAGATCATCATGAACAAAACAATTTAAAATGTTTATGTTGGGTAATCACCTTCACACTTAAGCTTACTGTGTTTTCTGGGAGGTTCAGGTGATCTCACCGGTCAACATCCCACTGAGCCAGGCCTGGGGACGAGCCAGTTGCTGCTGGTGTCAGGTTTACTGCCTCCTTCCCAATGTAACGTTGGGCCCTTGTGACACGGAATCTAAATCTTTAGTTGCCGGTTGCTGATGGTGAAGGACAATAATCCTGTTATCAGCAGGGCAAACGGTACTCTTGGTCTCTGCCTTCTTTGCTGATGAAGTAAATGCAGTGACAACATGTCCTAAGTCCTTGGTCTGTGCATTTGGAACAGTGTCCCCTTCAGCGAGGCTAGAAGATGAGAAAAGCTCATGACGCCCCTCTTCATAGAACGTTGCTGCTCCCCCCCACCCCCAAGTCCTGGGCTAATCATTTTCTCTGGGGTAATCGGGGCTCCTGCTTCTTCTCTGTGAAGGTTTGGGAGGGCGAAATATCCTGTCAGTTACAGCAGGCTCCTCTAGGCCAGCAGTTATCTCGGGGACACGGTTTCCTGCTCATTTCAAGAGACTGCTTTGCTTTTTAGTCTACTAATCATCCAACTCCTAGTTGATTAGATGGAGCTGCTGTGTATTTCCCTATTTATTCTACTCTGATGAAACAGTTAACATGGTTGTATGTAACTTTGAAAAGTGTCTAAAATTAAGTTGCTTTTTAAAATTAAATTGGCTTTTAGAAATGTGGTTTGGGATTGGGCTGAGGCGCAAGAAGGTATTCTAGAAGCCTCAGAACCTGCTCTGCCACTGATAGCTCCTAGAGCACCGTTTGTAAGACTAGCTGGACGCCAAGGCAATTTATAATGTAATCTAATGTTAGTATGAACGTAAGAGTCTCTTGTTCTCGCATTGATCCCACGAGATAAGCATTGATAATAAGTATCTCCTTGATGGGAAATTGAAGTGCTTAGAAGTGGTTTGTCTGAATTCACACTGTGATGAGGGACAGAGATGGCTCTTGATGGTAAGTGTTCTTTCTACTTTGCCACACCACTGACTTAAATGTATTTAGGAGGTGCCGCTTTAAGAACATCTCAGCATGAGCTTGATGGTTATGGCTTTATCTTGGATTTAGGTGTAACCCAGCCTCTGCCTAAGGTACAGTTAAAGCCACAGGTAGTAGAGAGGTCATGGTGCATCGTGGAGTGGCTGCTGTGTTACCTGTGCGTTTGGGGATCTGCCGCCTCCAGGCAGGTGTCTGGATATGATAGCTTGGTACTGGATCTATTACTGGATGGTAAATGTCTCTAATGCCAGGTTCATCAGAATTGTGATCATCTGAGACTGGGTCAAGGAAGGAACAAGAGGTGGAAACTGCAATACAAGCATCAGAATTTGGTGGTGGTGCGCTTCACTCAGTGAGTGCAGTGGAAAGCGTCCTGTGGATTAAGCAATCCACTCACACACTGCCCGCTCAGTCGGAATGAACTCTCCTTTACAAATCAGAGGCAATGCTTTCCTCGGAGAGTTTTCAGCCACAGGAGTCTCTAGAAGGGAATTATGTAGGGGGAATGTTTACCTATGGAGGAGGGCTTTGGTTAGGTTTACCCCTGCACATTGAACTGTACCTTTCTCCTGCTCTTTTCTCATTGACCAGTTATCTTTTGCACCTGTAGTGCCTGATGTGGCATTCAACCCACTGAGCTCTGCAAACTGGGACTGGTCTGTCCTGAGTTCTCCTTTGGCAGGTGGCAGCACTCTTATAGCTTCCTCTGGGAGACTGGCTCCAGGACCTCCCTGGCACTGAGGATCCTATAAAAAGAGGTTTGATAAGTTCTGTATTCCCTCAGGATTCGAAATATAGCGGGGCAGGCCCATACTGTAAGGGTTTTTTTTTTTTTTTTCTTTTTTTAAAGATTTTATTTATTTGACAGAGACACAGCGAGAGAGGGAACGCAAGCAGGGGAAGTGGAAGAGGGAGAAGCAGGCTTCCTGCTGAGCAGGGAGCCCGATTCAGGGCTTGATTCCAGGACCCTGGGATCATGACCTGAGCTGAAAGCAGACGCTTAACCGACTGAGCCACCCAGGCACCCCATACTGTAAGGGTTTAAGAACAACCAGATTTTCAGAGACATTTGGGCGGGGGCCCAAACCTGAGAAGAGAACACTCCAAACCAACCCATGATCCTGGGGGCTGAAGAGTTCCTGATCTGGTTTATCTCATAAGGGATCTCTGGTTTCATTCGTATGAAGCAAAAGTTGAAGGACTGAGCAGGGGGGCGGGGATCAACATTACGAACACACAAGTCAGATGGCTGATGAGTGATGCATTCAGTGACATTTTCACCCCCGCCCCCGCCAGCCTTCCTGTGCTTTTGTATCCAGAGGCAAATCCTCCAGTATCCCCCAAAGAATATCAGTAATACAGAGAGCAAAGCAGAGGTGAATTTCACTGTGGAAAATTCTGGTTTTTCACTCTTCTTGATACAGAAGACGTGACCTTGAAGGCACTTGTCTAATCAAGGCCCAAACCCTTGGGATATCATTACCTGGAAAAAAATTGAGATTATGTAAGTCATGTTGTTTTGGGTTCTCTGGCAAACTGAGGTACAGAGACAGAGTGCAAACATGAAAAATCCTTTTCTTGTACTTTGGAAATGGCCAGTTTTGTGCATCTGACCACATATTTTTGTCCTTATTTCATCATTACTTTTATATGTACACCCATATCCTTTTTTAGACGCAGTCTGAGTATTTTGCAATGATGATTTAAAGAATGAATAATTTTTATAGCATAAAGAAGAAAACTACAGAAATCTGTCAACAACCTGTCCCCCAAAGTTTGTGGAGAGGAGCATGAAACTTCAAGTCCTAGAATATCCTGAATGTGCTAGTATTGCCATATGAAATGGCCATGGTTATGCACGTGAGTCTTTGCGTGAAAATACAAGAACCCAGCTGCCCGTTTGTTTACCAGTCTAGGAAGATTGCTACGTGCTACTGTTTGACTTACATTACATTTTTTATCTGTCCTTGAGTTTTGTTCCTGCATGCAAAAAGAAAAAAAAATGAGAATTTTTCTTAGTGCTAAAAATGTGTTGTTGTAGCCAAACTAGATTTAATTTTTTGGATTAATCTCACTCCCTAAGTTTAATCAGCAGCAGGCATTCTATTTCATCTTTGACTAACAGGAAAAGACCCAGGCGATGTGTTCTTCTCGATGGTGCCAGTATTGTAAGAGAGTCTCTTTCCCCTTCAGACTCTAGGTGGAATATTTTATTGTGTGATTTCATGTTCCTTAATAGGGAGTATAGATCTCACCCAGGGATACATCTACATCCATAAACATCAATCATTGATGTTTTTAAGGTATCCTTTGAACATTAAATAACCACAGTGTGAGCATCCCAGATTAAAGGAGAAATCCCAACGAGAACTTGATTGATATCAGGTATCCAGGATCTATCTTGGGGATCCGCGCCACTGACAGAAAGAGAGAGTCCATCCTCTGGAGTATATTGCAGGCATAAAATATTAAATAAGAATTCATAAAAGGCATATTACTCATCTTAAATCAATTCACCATGCTAACAAACGGTGTTGAATGCAGCTTGTGGTATTTAGTGCTTACATAGGATAAGTAAAATTCGTACTCAGATAAGATCTTAAACATGAAATATGATCATATAGTTCAGTGGTTCAGAGCACCCTCCCTGGGTTAGACTGCTTGGAAAGGAACCCTGACTCCACCACACACTGGCATGAAGGCTTGGGTCAAGTTTCTTATCTTTTCTAAGGCTCGGTTTCTCCTCTGTAAAATGAGATAAATACATAGAGATTTATGAGAATTAAATAAGCTAATATGTATAAAACGCTTAGCACAGTGCTGGAACATTGTAAGCACTCAGATAATGGTAACTACAACTATTATCATTATCATATCACTATCATATTGATCTTACTCTCTTTTATTATCATCCAGACAAAAACATTTGACCAATTTCTAGTTATTACAGGATGCAGTTATTACTACATTTTACTCTATTTAAAAACAGGATTAAGCAATGCAGTGGGTTAGACTATAAGCCCATACACATATGTGACATATCTTCATATCTGTATCATAAGGCTGTGATTATATGGGCAGATCAGGTAGACACTGATGCAGGTGTATAGATGGATGATGCTGTGCTTTAGAAGGCCCAGTGCCTCGAGTCTTTTTTTTTTTTCCATTTTTTTAAATTTTAAATTCAATTAACCAACATATAATACACCATGAGTTTTTGATGTAATGTTCGATGATTCATTAGTTGCATTTAACACCCAGTGTTCATCCCATCATGTGCCTGCCTTAATGCCCGTCACCTGGTTACCATCCCCCTCCCCCCCGATTTCCGTCTCCCTCTCTGATTTCTTCCCTTTCCGTTTTCTCTCCCTGCCGCTGTGGTCCTCTGTGCTATTCCTTATGTTCCATACATGAGCGAAACCAGACGACGATTGTCTTTCTCTGGTTGACTTATTCATCTTAGCCTCAACTCTTGAAGTGAAAGAGCTGTAGTGTTTCTGATTTGGATGGTGCCTCGGGGACAGTCTCTATCAGGCCCATCGGGAAAGAAGATCGAGGCCCAACCGGCGTGAAGAGGGATATAGTTGCACAGCAAAGAAGCCGCCTGGACAGTACCCAGGATGAGAGCTCTTGCCCTTGCATCTCCCTGTCCTGACATTTAGGGTTTCTAACGCCTCCTTTCTGAATTGGCTTTTTCCTAAGTGACGCGTGTGTGCACACACCCCCACGCCCCCACACCCCCACACCCCAGCAGAAGCAGGAGGAGGATATCTCCCAGAGTTCTAAGTACCTGTTTGGAAGATGACCCACTTGAAAACCGGGATCTCTCCAAATTTGTCTCTGGCCCCCAAAATTGATCTCGTTTCTTCTCATTTGGGTCTCTTCCGTATTCCTGTCGTCTCAGACAAGCCTGCAGAATAAAAAATGGTTTCCTTAGCTTAGGTGTGCGACGAGCTTTGATTATAACTTTTTGCTTAATTCCTATCATGAGGAGCGTGAAATATATAACGTCCATCTCCGAGGGCTCATCAACACCTTTACCAAGTGTGAGGACACTCAGCCAGGCATCATTCTCTCTTCCCTTTGCCCAAAATGCCAGGTCAAAAATAGTAGCCACTGCTTTAATAAGTTAAAATCAACATACCAAGAGGTGTTTCGACAAGTATTTCCCCAACAATTGCCTGCTTAGTGCAGGAAGTACCTGATGCACAGTAGTAGCTTCCCCTTCTGCCTTGATTCTATCGCCACTCTACTCCGGCCTCTTGGATCACACCTGGTTCCAGGGGAAGACTTTTCCTACGTGAGAGCTTTAGCACGTGCGCTTCCTTCCCCTCGGAATGCCTTTCATGGGATGTTCATAGTCTGGCAAATCCTGCAGATCTATTCAGATCGAGCTCACGTGGCATCTCTTTCCTTGCCTTGCTTCTCTTCCCCAGGCCAAATTAATTGGTCCTTTATACAGACGCAGCTTGAATTATGCAATTTTTTAAAACTGTTGTACAATTTAGTTGTTTTGAGCCTGTATCTCCTGCTGATCAGTGAGAACCCTCAGGGTAAGGACCACCTCTTATCTTTTGAATCCCCCAGCATCTAGCGTTTAATGTTCGCTGAATTGCATTGTTGTTTCAGAGGGAAATATCAGTCCCCAAATGCAAAACAATAAAAAATAAATAAAAATAACCAACAAAAAAAAATTTTCCGTTGTTTAAAAAACAAAGAAAATTAAGAGAAAATCTAGTACCAATATATTTCTTCTCCAGGATCAGAACAGAAAAAACCCCAAGGACATCATGTGCTATGGGGGTTTCAACTGATATTTTAAATAGTTTAAAATAGTAAAACTTCTTGGAGCATTTCTATAGATTCAGTGCCCGAATTCACCTTTGCGCTGCTAGAGCCAAATTATCCACTGTCATGGTAAAGAAATGCAATGTAAAGACCAACAATACTGTTTCTAAACAGGGCCTGACATCTCCCCTTCCTGGCTGCGTTGAGAAAGGAAAGATTCCTTCTGCATTTTTCCCCTTTGTTAGAAAATGCATCTCCTTCCTTGATGTGGAAGGACTTGCCAGAATTTCACACCTCTGGGAAAGCCTAATATTATGCTACATGGTTAAAAATAGAAATGACCTGATATTAACAAAACATTTACCACTTGGAATTGGGAACAGCGAGCTGGTCACACTGTGCTTTCAACCATATTGCTGGTGAAGCCCTGGCCTCAGGGCTTATGCACAGCGGCCAGGTGGTACCTGCAGCAAGTGGAATCCTGTCGAAAAGTATGGTTCCACCCTGCCTTATTTGGAAAGGGAGAGCAATCCAAAATGGTTGCCCCCCCCTTTTTTCCTGTTTCACTGTTAATCTTACTTTCAAAAACTATGCTATATAGATAGCAAGCCATTTTAATAAATCGTGGGCAGTGTTTTTTTTTTTTTTTTAATTATTTGAGGTGGGGGTGGAGGGGCAGAGGGAGAGAGAATCCCAAGCAGACTCCCCACTGAGCGTGGAGTCCGACCTGGGGCTCGATCCCAAGACCCTGAGGTCATGACCTGTGCCGAAATCAAGAGTCGGACGCTCAACCAACTGAGCCACCCAGGTGCCCTGCAGTGTCTGTTTTAATAAATAATTTGAGCAAAAAAACCCCCAAAAGTAGTGGACAGTAACTATGATAAATAAGTTAAACATCGAGTATGAAAATAAACCAAAGTAAACCTGAAGAGAGTTAGCCAGAGAGTTTAATGACGTTCAAGTAAAGATGGGCCTCTCCTTTTTCATTCCTTTTCCAATGACTTCAGATTGGAGCCCGTTTGGGAGGAGCCCTGGCTCGGAGTGTTGTTTCCTGGAGCGGCAGATGTCTGTGTTATCCTACCCAACTGGGATTGCAGGCGCAAGCAGCAAATGCTGATAGGCTCAAAGTGGAGGACAGTGTTAGCAAATGCACGCAGGACCAAGGCAGATTTTGTGGGATGAACAGAATTCTTGTGGGTTGAGTGTTTTTTGAAAATTCTCTCCAAGAATGCATGCAACTTAAATATTTCTTTACCAAAAGGGGAGGCGGAGTAGAATGGTTTGCAGTGTCGAAAAAAAAATTTTTCCCCTCTGGTTCCTTTATGCCTCCTCTCATAGAGGAGTCCGAGAGCAAACCGGTGACAGGGTACATAATTTTTATCTTGATACAGCCAAGCAGCAATCTTTCTGTGTAAATCAAACATCAGTCCTCTTGAAGTGATAGCTTTGCCCAGTTGAAGGAACACAGGGACAGAGAGGCAAGTCCAGACTTCCAGTCCTAGAAATAGCAAGACAGGAGCCGTAACTGCCCCACGTTCCCCGGGGGCTAGTTTTCTTATTATTTGAAAATGAACGATTTTTTTTTTTTGGTGCCATTTTTGATGCTGATGTTTCCACAGTGGGGGTCCTGGAGCAACAGGGCAGAGTATGAAGTCCATAGGCTGGCAAGGAGGAATTGACGTGTAACTCATGATCACCGGGGGCTTCCCTTCCCCTGGAACTTTAAAAATATTCCCTTTTCAGTTCCACATGTCTGGAGCTAGATTGCTATAAATAAGTTTCTGTTCATGTGACGGAACTGGCTGAGGGCGGTCTGAAAATGGAAGGCTTCAGGTAACTCATTTCCTCCTTGAGCTGGGTGGGGGGCTTCCTCCTTCACTCCTCCTCTGGCGCTGCCCCCACAACCCCCCCCTCCCAGCCCATCCCTCTATCGGCACGCAGTCAGGCTGCCTCCAGAGCACAAGCTCCCAATGTGGGGGCAGAACACAGAATGTGCATATATGCCTGTGGCGGATGACGTGGGTTCTGTGACTCACTGTAACTCAATACGGGTAAACATGACAAGCCCCAGCTCTGCCACTTTCTCGCAACATAACCTTGGGCAGCCTGACTAACTCCATTGATTCTTGCTTCCCTCATCTGAAAGAGGGAGATGCCTGGTGCCGCCAGATTGCCGGGGAGCCTGGGGCCCTGTTGGCAGGACGCTGGGCAGAGTGACTGGCTCCTGGCGAGTGTTCAGTGAAAGGCACTCATCACCACCATCATCACCCTCATCACCCTCATCACCATCATTATCATCATTAGGCTTTAATTGTTGTTTCTGATCCCATTGCTTGGTTTACTTCTATTTCTAAAGCCAGCCTTTGCCAAATCGCATGACTCGGATCCTGGTCAGGGAAGAAGAAAGAATCTTTCTGTCCGGGCCTGAGCTTCATCCTTGTTTTTGTGCCCTGGAGGCAGCGGTCTGTTTCCTAGGCCTGCAGTTCCCCCCGCCAGACAACTGAGGAGATCCTGCCCTCAGTCAGTCAGGGTACCTCATAAGGCACTTTTTCCTCAGTGTTGCAGCTTTCTGAATCCACCGGGGGGTGGGGGGTAATGGGGGGGTGGGAGGCTCAGTTTCTTAAGTTTATTTGATTATCAGTCCCGCCTTCAAGTCCTCATCCAGGCTCCAGAGGCCTTAAGAAGCCACCAGCCATAGGAAGACTTTCCCGGCCTCCTGGTTCCAGTATGAAAAACCCCGTGACCACGGGGCATCTCTGCCTCTCGAGCATGGTGGCCTCCACCAAGGTTATTGTCGCTCCAGCCTCCAAGCATTTTGAGAAGTGGGACTTGCCACTGCTTCGGTTGGTACTTCTCTGTTCTTACGATCTAACATGCGTAACCCAGACTTGGGGGATTTAATTATCATTGGTGGCATTATTCAAGTTCATTAGTTTTAAGATGTTAAGGAATCAGAGGTGTAAGAACAATTTGACATGCTGTTCCCCTCAAATGAGTTTCTTTTCCTGTTCTGTCTGTGGAGAGGACAGAAGCATGTACCTCAGAGATGAGCAGAGCAGAGAACCTTCCCCCCAGGCTCCCATGGGAGAGGAAGCTGAATTTTCTCTACTCCCTCAACCCCCTGAGTGGACGGTCCCCAAGCCCCTTGCCACCTGGCACTGTCACCTATCATGTCCTTGAACAAGTTCATAGCATCATGTTCAGTTGTTTGCTCAGTCCTTGAAAGATCAGGATGAAATAAATGACAGGAAATGAAACCCATCTGAACACATTTGATAGATTACAGAATATCATTCTGAAATGCCAAGTGTAATCTTTCTCTCCAGCTCTCGGTAGACATTAATGGCTAAATTCTGCCTCAAGTTACATAAACACGTTTGACCCAAAGAAGGAAGGGGGGGACAAATCTATGCAGCATGAACACCCTTGAAGAAACAGAGCCAAATCCTGAGATGGCATGTAATTATGTACTAGCTACCAGATTCTGAAATAGCATGTAATATGCCAAATAGATGTTTATTTCCTCTTGTTTTTTCAAAAGGGTCCCACCCAACCACCGAAAGGAGCAGCATCAAAATAACTCAGGGTGGGTTTAAGCCACCTCTCCTGGTGCCGGCACGCAGACCTGTAAAGGCACTGCTAATTTGGTACGCACCAACCCTTAGCGTATTTTAGGATGTCACAGGAATAGTGTACACAGGAAGTTTGTAAGGGCTTCAATTTGAGCCAGTTCATTAAAGGCAAGTGAAACACAGGCAGGAATCTGTGGCAAATGTATATGATTTAGGAGTTCTGTCTAGTTATTAGGTCTTACACTATTTGTACACTCTGAAATGGGGAGTCCCTAGTGTGCAGCCAGGTTGCTGCCCTGGGAGTGAAAGCTGGGATTCCTTGATTCATTGATGAGCCAGGGATTCGATATCGACCCGATGCAAAGTCTACCTTAGTAAATTATCTAGATACACACAGGTCATATATGGACCAAGTTTTTGAGGGGTTATTAAGGTCATGCAAATGATTCTTAAACCCCTACTTTAAATCCTTTCTGGAACAAGTCAAGGGAGAGACTAAATCACACAAATAGCTCACCACTGTTCCCTTCGAAGTCATTTCTGTGGGTTGCTATATATTTAATTCAACAATACTCAGAACATATTAAAGACAACCATATTTATTTTTTGCAGACTTTGTGGTGAGTGGTTTTGAAAATGCTCAATGAGGGTGGACTTGACCTTGAGAAATAGTCATAAGTCAGCTGAATCTAAGACTGATAAAAAGAGTTGGTGGTCAAGTTAGGTAATGGTGCCTCACATCAAAGGCAGGGCATTCAGTTTGACATAGAAGAGTATGTCTCCATCCCTGTCCATAAGAAGCTGTGGTCCAGATTGAGGGGAAGTCACCCAGAAGACAATTTCAATACAATTTCATAAGCAACGAGAAGGAGGTATAAAACGGCGCTTTGGTATTGAAGTGATGGAAAAGTTCTAAAGCTGGATGATGATTTGGCTACAGATTTGGTAAATTTACTGCAAGTCATTAAATTATACACTTAAAACAGGTGAATTTTATGATATGTGAATTATACCTCAATGAAGTGGGGTTTTTTAAATATTTATTTGTCAGAGAGAGAGGGAGAGAGAGCACAAACAGGGGGAACAATAAGCAGAGGGAGAAGCAGACTTCCTGCTGAGCAGGACTCGATCCCAGGACCCTGGGATCATGACCTGAGCCGAAGGCAGATGCTTAACCGACTGAGTCACCCAGGCGCCCCAATAAAGTGGGTTTTAAAAGAAGGGCGTGGTGGGAGTACAGAGATTTCATTTAGTTCTAAATTCAAACTGCAGTCTCTACCACCCTTGTCAAGAAAGTAAAGAAGGGGGAAGGGGAGGTCAGAGAAGCAGTGAAGATTTAGGATGCTCTGGTTGTGGTTCTTGGGTCTTGGACCTGCCTCTACGTGGGGGGAAGGAACTCCAGGGTTTCATGCATTCCAACTGCACTGTCAAGTTCACATTTTAGATAGATTTCAAAAAAGCAGTCTGAAGGATGCCAAGGTTGGAGGCATGGAGAATGGTAATAAGGACATTGTAATGATCTTGGAAAGAAACCATGGAGGTGGGGACCAGGGTGGTGGCAGTGGGATGAAAGGAAGGCACCAGTTCAAGAGCTTTTAAATAGTGGTGGCAGGACTTGGTAACAGGTGGGATATGGGTGGTGAGGGAGAGGAAGGAGTCGGGCAAGACTTACAGACAGAGGAGGATGGCAGGGCATGGACATGCTGAGGTGCCTCTGTGACATCCAGATGGAAATGTGCAACATGCAGGCGTGCATGTGATTGTGACACTTTGGGGAGACTCAGTATTACAGGTTATTAGTCTACAAGTGATGGCTAAAAACATGGGAGGGAGGAGATGGGTCACAGAGACCTTGTGAGTTGGAAGAAAGCTAGGCTGTTGGAAACCGGGGAATTAACATTTGTGGGGCAGGGAGAAGAATGTGAGAGAAACAGAAGGAAAATCAGCAGAGTGTGTTGTCAGAAAGCCAAAGGAGTAATGTTTTGAGAAGGAAGGAGTAATGGTGTCAAATATAGATAAAGCTTCAGAAAACAAAGACTAAAAAGATGTCCCTTGAATTTGGCTACCGACCTTAGAATAACTTCAGGGGAGGGAAGGGGGCAGCCAGGCTGCAGTGGGTTAGGAATGAACGGGATTGGGGGGGCAGTAGAGATAGAAATGTAGCAGGTTGGGGACAGTGCCAGGGCTATGGCTAGAGAAGGACCGCGTGTCCTGCAGCTTTGTTCTTTTGTTCTCAGTATAGGAGGGACTTGAGCATGTTTGTAGGCTGAGCCAATTAGAAGGAAGGAAATGTCAAAGATACAGATGACAAGTCCCTGGATGGAGAGGGGCTGGACACAGCAGGGTGTGGGCCAAGAGCTCCGGCCAGGCGGTGGCCGGGAAAATGTTCCTTCCCCCTTCGGACTTGAGGGCTGGATGGGTGTGTAGCCTGGAATGGAAGGGGAGGAGTAGCAAGGCTTCCCACCTGATGGCCTTGGGTCCTTTGCTTTGTTTCCTGTGTGTATAAAACAGGAAGAGAAGTTCTTTGTTGAAAGTGTGGGGATTGCAGGTCTGAGAAAAGTAGGAAAGTTGAAAACCGACGATGACAGAGGGAGCTGATGGACGAGTAAGCATGTCGATGTGAGTCAACCTTCACTCCTTTCTCTCCCTCACTCCGCCTCTCCATATACCGGCATGATGTCAGTTCTCCTGTTTCCTGGGTTGGGCCACTTCTCACCACCTCCACTCCTACCCCCTGGGTCTGAGCCACCATCATTTCTCTCCTAAATTTCTGTCACAGTTTCCTTACCAAGTTTTTCTGCTGCTTCTCTAGTCCCTTTCCTTCCTTTCGCCATACAGCAAGCAGCAAGAGTGATCTTTAAACACTGTAAGTCAGATCATGCCACTCCCCCGCTTAAAATCATCCCAATAATTCTCCCTAAGAATAAACTCCAAACACCAAACTTTGTCCTGAGAGATTCGACACGGCCTGGTCCATTTACCTCTCTTAACCTTGTCATGTGCCACATTCTCCCTTGATCAATGTGTTTCAGCCACTCTGGCCTTCTTTTGTTTCTTCCACGGCTCCAAGTTAGTTCCTGCCTCAGGGCCTTTGCACTTGCTTTCCTTCTGCTCAGGATGCTCTGGCCAGCTCTTCCCCATCTTTTACCTCTACACTCAAATGTTATTTCCCCAAAGAGCCTTCCCTAACTGTGTAAGGAAGCATCACCCCCCCAGCTGGTTACCTCTGTTTGCCTCCTTATATTTATGAGTAATCAAAACTATCTTACATATTTATTTAGTTTTGTGTATTGTTTGTTTCTCAATTCCAGAATAAGAATGCTGGGAGAGAAGGGACTTCGTTTAGGACATTGTATGCACTTGATAAAGTATTGTTATTTATAAGGATAGTGTTGAAAGTATCCTTATTAATAAGGACAGTGTTGAAAGTCCAATGAAACCGGAAAAATAAAGCCCCAGTGACTTTAGTCCACACAGTTGTGTGATTTTCTCCAGCAGAGATCATCAAATAATAAGATTGATTTTCTTATATGCTTGTTCTGGAGACAATTTCAAACAAGCATTTCTTAATGAAGGTCAGGTGGCAGAGGCGTCTTGGTGAAAAGCAGATGGATTCCCAGTGTGACCAGTTCAGGTATTTACGTTCTTATTCATTTTCCAGAAACTCCCTCAATTTTACAGTCTCGTGTGTGGGTTGGCAAGTTGTGGGAGGAAGTTGCTGACTCTGTTTCCAGCCCCACAGCTAAGCTGTGCTATACAGGTGAAATCAGGTTACCGAGATCCGTCTGGTTTCCTTGGTGACCCAGGAGGTTTGGTTATATTTGAAATTGCTAAGAAGGAGAAAAATCTGGTAGCAACAGTTCTGTGTTTTCCTTAAGGAAGGAGTACTTTTCCATCCTTACCTGAAGCTGAGGACATGCCTCTTTGATTGGCAAGGGTTGACCTCTGGCCAGCAGGCTGGGCGACACTTTCTCACTGCTCCGAGAATCTCACGCCCAGGCTGGCAAGTTTGTCCTGTGCTAGCTCTGGGTAATTACATCACGACTCCTCCGGCTCCCTGTCTGTTTTGTTTTTGCATGTAAACACTGTAACTAGGGTGACGAATAGTTAGCTTATTGGAGAATGTGTTAACCACCTTTCTTCTGGTGGGATGACAGTGGAAAGGCATGTTATTTTATAAATGGTAGGTCAACCCCATTAACTCTTTAAGGGTTTTGTTCTAGATAGCTGGCTTATCAAGCTTAAGCCTTCATGTCATTCATTGACAAGGTTTGTGTGCCAAGCTCTGTGCTAAGTACTTCTCAAGTGTTATTTTGTTTTCGTGACAATATTATGAAGTGGGTGCTATTATTATTTATTTTATTTTTTTTTTAGACAGGGTGGGAGGGGCAGAGGGAGAGGGAGAGAGAGAATTCTAGGCAGACTCCAGGCCTAGCACAGAACCCGACGCAGGGCTCGATCTCACAACCCTGAGATCATGACCTGAGCTGAAATCAGGAGTCAGATGCTTAACTGACTGAGCCACCCAGGCACCCCAAAGTAGGTACTGTTATTAACCCCATTTTAAGGATGAGGAAACACAGAGAGGTCAAGTGGCTTTCCATAGTCACACATCTAGGAAGTGATGGGTTTTGGATTTTAGAAAGTGATTACTGCTTATCATGTACTCAGACTGTATCCTGAATTCTCACATAATTACTATAAGGAAGGTGGAAGATGATTCTAGTTTTTTTGCAGTTACCTGATACTCAGAGTCCACCTTATGCTGCATGTCCCGCAGATATTGAACATTACTCATGAACTTCTGCCTGTCCCTTGCTTCATGCAACATGATTCTTAATCCCCAACCTGCATATAAAAGATAAATAAAGGTGCTGTGACATAATCCTTTGTTGCTGTACTGTATTTGGATTTATCTTAGTATAATTGCTTTTATTCTCTTATTAATCTAATTTCCATTGTTTGAAAGGCACAGATGCCCCTTTCAGCCAGCAAGGACTCTCTGTACTGGTGTGGATGCCCTTACAGCCCTCCTGTTCTGGGCATAAATAATGCAGCCGCATTCATCAGCTGGCTTCAGGGATCCCGTCCTGGTTGGTTATTCATAGGGAGTTAGACTGACAGACACCTGATTCAGAAGCAGTTCTATGACTTGACAAAAATGAAAACCCAGAATCTAGCGAAATTAGCAATGACCAACGTTATGAGCGCCTGGTCACTTTAAGTTCACTTATTCAACAATCGCGTCCCTATTCCAACTGAGGCGCCATGCTGGGTGCTGGGATATAGCAGTCGGAAGGAAGAACGTGCCCCTGCCTTGGTGTTTCTTACAGTCGGGTGGGCAGAGGACTGACACTGAACATCGCTGCACCCCAGCCACTTGACACTCCATGAGGTGTTCTCACGAACCCACCCCTCCTTCAGAATTATCTGAGGGGAATGTTCCCACCACCCAGCGAGCTGCTTGCGCCCGTAACCTGGCCGGCTTCCTAACATTCCCTCTTCTGCGCCATCCATATCATCACCCAGCCCTGATGATTTTCTCCCAAGCAGCCCCCGAATCCATCGTGGTGGGAGTGTGGGCCCTGCTGTGTGAGACTCTCAGGGTTCAAATCCCAACTCTTTTGAGCATTGACAGAGGAACCCTAATTGTGATAAGGGCTATGGAGTGGAAATGTGAGCTTCTTTGAGAGACGGTTATTATGGGAGGGCATGACATGGTCTAGGGGGCAAGGTTTTCCTTAGGAAATGACACCGGGCTTGCTAAGGAGTGAGCCAGGCAAGAAGTGGGACAGAGAGCATCTCAGACAGAAAGGACAACAGGTGCCGGAGCTTTGGGGCAGCAGGGGGCTGGTGCAGTTGAGGACCAAGAGGGCCAGTGCAGCTGGAGCAGAGAGAGGGGAGAACAGCAACGGAGGGCTCTCGGGGAGACAGGGGCTGGCCAGTTCACTTGGAGCCTGGAAGGTTATGATTGCAAGAGCCATATAACTGCCACTGGAAGATTCCAACCTGGGGAGTAAATGGTTAGATTTGCATTTTATTTTGTTTTTTAAAGATTTTATTTTTAATCTCAACACCCAACATGGGGCTCAAACTCACAACCCCAAGATCAAGAGTCACACATGCTCTACCAACTGATCCAGCCATGTGCTTCTAGATTTGCATTTTCAAAGGCCCCTCCAGCTTTAGTGTAGAGAATGAAAGGGGGGGGGGAGTAAAAATGAAAGTAGAAGGACCCACAGGGAACATATGACAATAATCCAGATAAGACAGCGACCACACTTGGATAGCAACAGTGGAGAGGAGGCAGCGGTGGAGGAGGCAGACATTGGAGCTACTATTTACTGCGCCTCCTGAAGGTCTGGGCACCCTTGTCAACATTTACACACAGTAACTCACTCGATCTTCAGGTCGGTGCTTGAGGCAAGCGCTCTATTTGCATTTTGCTGGTAAGGAAACTGGGCAACCAAGGGAGTAAGTAACTTGCTTAAGACTGCAGAGCTGGTAAATGGAAGAACTGGGGTTTGAACCCACAGAACCTCACAGCAGGGCCCACACTCTCACCACGATGGATTTGGGGGCTATTTGGGGGAGAAAATCATCAGGGCTGGGTGATGATATGGATGGCGCGGGAGAGGGAAGGTGGAGGAAGCCAGCCAGGTTATGGGCTCGCAGCAGCTCCCCGGGGAACTGGTGGCTGGTCGGTGGACGATTCTGGAGACGTTCTCTTTGTGAGAAAACCGTGTGGAGTTTGAAGCGGGGTCCGGGGGGCGGGTAGTGGAGGCGTCAGGCCAGCGCCTAGATGCGGGGCTCTGGAGCTGACGAGAAAAGCAAGGATTTGGGCACCACGGGCATTGGGTGACAGCTGAAGAAGGCAGTATGTGTACTGGGAAGAGGAGGAGAAGCAGGGACAGAAAGCTGAGGAACACTCCAACTTGAGAACACCGAGCGGAAGAGAAGCTGCAGAGCAGCCGGAGAGGCAGGAGGCAAACCAGGTGGGCGCAGTTCCATGGCCGCTGCGAAGAGCCCGTTTCAAGGAGCAGGTTATTTATAACCTTGGTGAGCGCACTGAAGACAGATTGCCGAGAATTGCGCAAACGAGAGGTAAGGGAGTAGAGACGATGCTTTCAGGAGCTTGGGCTCTGATTGGTGTGGCCTGAGTTTATGACCAAAATATTTAAAGTCACACAGTTAGTAAATGGCGCTGGTCATGATGAGTCTGCAAGACCTCCTCAGTTAGGGTCACCTGAAGTCCCACACATCCTGCTTTTGGGGCCAGTGAAGTCCTTTCAGTGATTGCTACACGTTTTTTTTTTAATTGACGTAGAACATGACATTCGTTTCATGCATACCACAGAATGAATAGATATCTGTGTATATTGCAAAATGATTGCAATAAGTCTAGTTAACATCCATCACCCACATAGTTATAATTTTTTTCCTCTCGTGATGAGAACTTTTAGAGATCTATTTGCTTAGCAACTTTCAAATATACAGTATTTTTTAAGTCTATTTTATTTATTATCTCTATACCCAAAGTGGGGCTCAAACTCACGACCCCGAGATCAAGAGTCACACGCTCTTCTGACTGAGCCAGCCTGGCGCCCCTCAAATATGCAGCATTATTAACTGTAGTCGCCATGCTGTATGTTACATCCTCAGTACTTACTATTTTATAACTGGAAATTGGTGCTTTTTGACTCCCTTCACCAATGTTGTCCCCCTCCCCCCCAATCCCTGCCTCTGGCAACTGCCAGTTTGTTCTTTGAATGTTTTCTGTATCTATGAGTTTTGTTTTGTTTTTTAGATCCACATATGAATGAGATCATACAGTATTTCTTTCCCTGACATATATATATCTCACGTTTTATCTATTCGTCCATCAATAGACACAGAGTTTGCCTCCATATCTTAGTTATTGTAAATAATACTGCAATGCGTTAGTGTTTTGGATAAATACCCAGAAGTGGAATTGCTGGATCATATGGTAGTTCTATTTTTAATTTTTTGAGGAACCTCCAAATTGTTTTCCTTAGTGGCTGCACCAATTTACATTCCCACCAACAGTGCACAGGGATTCCCTTTTCTCCACATCCTGATCAACACTTCTTATCTTTTAGATAGTAGGCATTCTAACAAGGGTAAAGTGATATCTCATTGTCAGTAAGGGTGATATGCATTTCCTCGTGATGAGTGAGTTGAGCACATTTTCACATACCTGTTGGCCACATGTATGTCTCTTTTGGAAAAAAAATCTATTCAAATCTCATTTTTAAATTGGGTTTTTGGGTTTTCTTGCTATTGAGTTGTTTGCGTTTTTGGGTATTAACCTTTTATTGGATATATGATTTGCAAATATTTTCTCTCATTCAGTAGATTGACTTTTCATTTTGATGATGGTTTCCTCTGCTGTGCAGAAGCTTTTTGGTTTGGTGTAGTTCCACTTGTTGGTTTTTGCTTTTGTTGCCTTTTTTTAAAAAATTTATTTAAGTAATCTCTATACCCAACATGGGACTCAAATTCATGACCCTGAGATCGAGTCGCCTGCTCTTCCAACTGAGCCAACCAGGCACCCTGCTCTTTTTGCCTTTGATATCAAATCCAAAAAAGCATTGCCAAATCGAGGTCAAGGCACTTACCACCTATGGAGTATTATGGTTTCAGGTCTTATGTTCAAGTCTTTAATCCATTTTGAGTTAATTTTTGTATATAGTGTAATATCACCCAGTTTCATTCTTTTCCATGTGCCTTCCAGTTTTCCCCGCGCCATTTATTGAAGAGACTGTCCCGTCCCCACTGTAAATTCTTGGCTCCTTTGTCATAAATTAATTGACTATATATGCATGAGTTTTCCAAGGCATTCTATTCTGTTCCATTGATCATTGTGTCTGCTTTTACACCAATATCATATAATTTTATTACTATAGCTTTGTAATATTGTTTGAAATCAGGAATCATGATGCCTCCAGCTTTGTTCTTCTTTCTGATACACATTTTTTAGTGACTACCATGTGACAGGTGCTGTTCTAGACACTGGAGAAACAGCAGGATAAGATAGACAACATCCCTACCCTTGGGTGTTTGCATTCTGAAGCTTTCCTTCCTCTCTTCATTTTTTTCAGTTGTATAGATATTGGCAAAACCAGGTTGTCCCTGACTCATGGTGACTCAGTGTCTCGACTGGTCATTATGAAATCTCGCCCTGAGCAGTATCATCTAGTAACTTGTGCTGCTTCCTCTGGAGTTGCTGTCTCTGAAGTATAGAAAGTTGGTCTTTGAGAGTCCAAGTCTAAAGCTACAACAAACAGATAGTTCCACAGACTACATGCAAAACCTACATTTTGCCTCTGAGGATTTTTAATAGTCATTTATAGCACTACACTTTAAAAGATCATTTTTGGGGCCCCTGGGCGGCTCAGTTGGTTAAGCATCTGACTCTTGATTTCGGCTCAGGTCATGATCTCAGGGTCTTGAGATCAAGCCCCACTTTGGGCTTTGTGCTGGGCATGGAGCCTGCTTGAGATTCTCTCTCTCCCCCTCAGCTCCTCCTCTCTTCTCTATCACTCTTAAATAAATAAATACATAAATAAGATCATTTTTAACTTTTCATATGAATTTGTACCTGCACAGAATGAAGTTATGTTCCCACTCTTTTAGGAAAACAATGGTGTTAAAGCAGGCAGAAAGATGAACCTCTGTTGCTACTGTTGGAAAGAGAAGCCTGTCTGAATATGAATCAGGCAGAGAACATAAGTTTTCATAACAAAAATGTGTTAATGGTCACTAAAGGGGCACATCCCAGAGTCCACTTGAATGATACATTTTGGTTACAAAATTAACCTAGAAAAACGAGCTAATATATCCTGGCTTTAATGCTGTGTTATTTTAAAGAGGCTTCTAAGTCAAGAGGCATGAAAAAACTGTGTCTAACTAGGTAGGAAATAACACTATTTGAACTACTTGCTAGGTTACCTCTGACTTCACAATCATCTACCAAATAAAGGACTTTCAAATTACCTACAAAATTCTCTTTACCCTCCCATAAACTATTACTGTACTTTACTATAAACTGCATATTTAGAAGCATCATGGTCCCACATGTTATTTATTTAAACACATCAATACTCTGTGAGAGTAAACAAATACTTTAGGCACCGGGAAAAGAGATTATTAGGCAGTCACCACGATTTAGGTAAAAACTCTCCAGCTTTCTGAAGTACCACTTGAACCTCATACTGTACTGCAGGTTTGAAAACTGACCAGGACGAACAAGAAACAGAAATAACTGTTTGGAAATAAATTCACATGAGATAATGCTTAATTTGCAGATCTCAGTTTAGTGGGCTTACTCAACCAGATGGCCATTTGAAGCCCAAAAACTTATCCTCCGCAAATACAGACAGGTGGGGGAGGGGGTGGTAATAAAATGTGGGCAAGGCGCTTGTTTCTAAAATAGCATTCTGTATTCTCTTCCGTTTCTCACCTTTGAACTGCTTCGCAATTTAAAATCCACTCATGGTCATGCACGCTTCTCTTTTAAGTCTCTGGTGACAATATATTGGGCCAAATAATGTGCCTTACAAATCAACATAAGAAGCCATTTTAAATCAGGAGAGGGAGAAGGAGAGAAGGGAGTAGGAGGAATGTGGGCAAGGGAGAAGGGAGCCCTGCTTTGCTGAAAGCGAGAGTGAGTGAGTCTTCTTGGCCTCAAAATTCTACATATCTGTGAAATTTCAATGAGGAATATTCTAAGAACTTTGTGACATATGTATTCCTCTCTAGTGTAACTTTGCAATGAATTCAAACCAAGTTTCCCTGACTAAGGAGAACAGAATCTGATTGCAGAATAGATTTCTTTTAGTTCTCTAAAATATCATATATACTGTCCTTCTGCTCTATGACCACATTTGTCAAAAGAATTGAAGGGAACCCTTTTTAATAACATCAAGCTATTTCACTGTTTTCTTGTTAAAAGTTTCTATTATGTTCTCATATTGGAAGTACTAAAGTGAATATTTTATTGGCTCAGCAATAAACAAAAATGTAAATTTAAGTCCCTCTTTAGGCTTCAGGTTCCTTTAGACCAAAATCTAAATGGCTATATTAATACCTGACAATCAGGTTTATAAATCCCCCCCCCTTTTCACAACTGGGTACTTGGAAGAAGGACCTCAGAATTTATTTCTCTTTTTACACAATTAATTTGTAATGACAAAGATTACAGGATTTCTTTAAGTCTTAGCTTAAAAAAATCTTAAGAGTTTTAAAATCTTATAAAAATGAATGTAAGCAACAAAGATGAGTGATTTGGGGCCAGTTTTTCTATCACCCCACTACTGAGAGAATGCTGTGACGGAAGGCAGAGAGGAGGAATTGACATGGATGGGGGGGAGATAATCGGACTCTCCCAGCCAATTTGGTTTAAGAAATCAAGGGGTGGGTGGTGTAAGGGGCTGGTAAGAAAAGCTCTTTGGCGGCGACTCCTCATTTTATTGTGAAACTGTGACAGAGATGGGCGGTCACACACTGACTTTCAAGCCTAGAAGAGAGAGACTCCATGTGTAACTTGGGAAACTTTGGGGGGTGGGGTTGATGTCACAGTCTTGACAAGCAATTCGAAGCTCCCAAGGATGACAGTATCAACAATTTCCCTCTCGGAAGCCCGAGGGGCCGTCCTGTCCGTGTAGACCTACTCTGGACTTGCAGACCCGAGAAGACTGCGGGGAAGTTGTGCAGCTGCGGGGGCGCTGCCAGTGTGCAAATAAGTGATCACCGGGTCCCCCACACCTGTCCCTTTGAGGCAGGAAAACACCGGGACAGCCGGGGAGAGGGAAGGCTGCCAGGCCGCCAGGCTTCGGCCCGATTTCCCATCAGAATGGCAGAAGTGGAAAGGAGAGGGTGTCCCCCTTCTCCTCCCCACACCTCCTTGAAGGACTGGGGGCCGCAGGGGGCGCGCGCGGCTGGGGCCAGCCGTTACCTGGCGGGTCAGTCCTTACCCACCTGCGCGGGCTGATGGGGCCGAGGGGCGAGACAGGCGGGCTGGTCCAGGGCGGAGGGGCCGCCCATCAATCGCGCGGGGGCCGTCTCCGTGCTCCTCTTCCTCCTCCTGTCTCGTCTCCCCTCCCGCTACCGGCCCCTCTTCCTCCTCCTCCCCGGAGGCTGCTTTCCGCGGCGGCGGCCCGACTTTCTAGGGGCGGAGGCGGTGGGGGTGGCTGCCTGGCGTCCTCCCGTTTCCTTGGCAACGCGAGCTGGGGGCCACGAGCACTGGCCTGGGGGCGGGGCCTGGGCCCCGGGGTCTTGAGCCCAGACGTGGGCGCCCCGCGGTTGCCGTGGGAACGGGATGCGGTCGGGGAGGCAGAGCCGTGATGGCGGCGGGCAGAGAAGACACGCGGCAGGAGCACGCGGATTGGCTTTGTCTTGATGCCCAAGCCCAGACCCAGATATTGAGGCCATCACCCCTGCTCCGAATCGGTGCTGTGCTTTATAAAGAACGTGATTAGAAAACGAGAGGGGAAAATAGTTTTAACTGAATGAAGTAATATTAAAGGCAATAGATGGGTAGAGGAAAGACAGTGCCGCCCTGGAGTTTGAGCTGTTCGGGGGTTCTCGGAAATACCTGCTCCGAAATAAGAGGGAAGAAATAAACGATTAAGGGAGGCACCCTGTCAGTTGCAGAACTGAGGCCAGATCCCAGTTATCTCCTAGTTATTAGTAATCTGGGCTGCCTTTCCCAAGGAAGGACGTTCTTAGAGGTTTAGACTAGTGCCCATAGATTTGGAAAGGACCAGAACCTGTGCTAGCCTCATCTTCTCTCTGCCAGGTTTATTTCTGTCTGTGGTTTTTGGTAGGCTAAGATGACTCTTCCATTCATTTTGCACATGTAGGCAGTCAATAACTTGCCAATTGATGTCAAGTTACGGCATTTTTGATTGAGTAGAGACTAGAGGAAAAGGAAAATAGAAATTCTTGGACCTTTCATCAGTGCCCAGCATCCCTAGGTGTCTGTGGTTTATGGGTGTCCTCTCAGGAATCCCCCAAATCCAGTTGGCATCCAAATCTCCTGCAGCATTGCACCCTTCCTTCTATTCTTATCACCACCACCCTAGTTTGGGGCTCCAGGACCTCATGACTGGATTATTGTAAGGACCTCCTGACCACGTCTTAAGCCCCTGTCTTCCATACCCTAGCCCCACCATTTCCCTGATTCTATAAGCAGCTTGGGTCTAATGCTGTGGCCCTGCTAAGAAGTTCTCAAAGATTCCTCACTGTGGCATAAAATCTAAACTCTTGACCACGGCTTTCCCTATACCCTCCCCCAGGCTCGATTGCTTGGTTTTCCTCTGTCAGCACTTCTTCATTCATACTTCACCCAGACCAGACCGCACATGATACTCTGAACGTCACTCCCTGCCTTCACACCAAATCCTAAGGCACATCCTGAGCCAGGCAGATTCCAGATAATATGTACGTAGGTGAAACCTTTGTTTTGGGCACTTTTCATCCGACCTCCATTGGTCCTTCAGCAGTCAGTACCTTTCTGTCCATGGTAGCTCAGCCCATGTTCTGTTCTTATTCTCAGCTGGTTATCAAGTAATTCCTATCAAAGCATTAATTGATAACTGAAGCATTAACTGATAAGCACTAACCTAAGACCCCTCCCCATGGTTTTTACCTTTCCATCTTTTTAAAATATTTTTTAAAATTCAAGTATAGTTGACACACCATGTTACATTAGTTTCAGGTGTACAACATAGTAATTCAACAAGTTTATACATAATGCTGTGCTCACCACAAGTGTAGCCACCATCTGTCACCATACAATGCTCTTACAGTATCATTGACTAAATTCTTTATGCTGTGCCTTTTATTTCCATGTCTTATTCATTCCATAACTGAAAGCCTATTTCTCCCACTTCCCGGTACCCATTTTGCCCCTCCCCCCACCCCCTCCCCCTCTGGCAACTGTTCTGTGTATATATAGGTCTGATTCTGCTGTTTGTTTGGATTCCACATATGAGTGAAATCGTATAGTATTTGTCTTTCTCAGTCTGACTTACTTCACGTAGCATAATACCCTCTAGGTCCATCCATGTTGTCCCAATTTGCCTTTCAATCTTTAAGACACACTGATCGAAACTATAATAGTGAAATGATAGATGGAGGGTTTGTTCTGTTGAAGTTAAGACACCCTTCAAATAAAAATAATCATAACGATTAATGATAATCAGGAATTATTAATGACTAACAGAGGAGGAAGTGGAAGCCCAGGTGAGATAGTTGAAGAGAAGTGACATGCCTGAGGACAAGGTAAGAAGCAGACCAGGGCTCAAAAGCAGGGTTCTCACTCCTGATGTTGCTTACTAATAAGAAAAACACCATGGCACATGTTAGATCCAGATTTTCTCCTTCCACTTCAACATCTGTATAAAATAATACTATCTACCTCAAAGCATCACTGTGGAGATTAAACAAGAGAGGGCAAAGCATTTAACATCATACTTGGTCTGCAGTAAGCACTCAATAATTTCCTTTCTGAGGCACATTTTAAGAGTTTATTTAATGCACATGAGTGAAAACCATAAATATTTTCAGATTTTTATTTTTTAATTTTTAATTTTTTTTATTTTTTAAGTAATCTCTATGCCCAATGTGGGGCTCAAACTCACAACCCCGAGATCAAGAGTCTCATGCTCCACTGACTGAGCCAGCCAGGCACACCACTATTTTCAGATTTTCAATAACAAAGTTTGGAGATGTCACTTCATAGCTCAGTTTTAAAAACTTTTCTACGTTTTGAAGTGTTTCTGAAAATTAAGCTCCATGAAGAGAATCTTGGTGCTCTTGAAAGAAGGTGGCAGTGCCAGGGGCCGGCCCATAAACAGTTACCCAGTGACTCCAACTTTAGTGTTTACTGAGTAAACTTAAGCTTGGCATGTCAATACAGTAAGATTGATTCTAGCATTAAGAAGCAAAGTGCTAAGGAAGAGAAATATTAACATGAGGGGAAAAAAACTAAACAATTCCTAATTGGGGAAAGGATCTTCCTTTTTGCAAAATTCTTTGCAAAAATGTCCCTGGTAAAAAAAAAAATAAAAAAAAAATGTCCCTGGTAGATGATGAATAAGTGAAGAAAACAGAACTTAGACTCAAGTAAATCATGGGTTCTAATGATGGAGATATTTGGTGTTTGCAAATAAGCAACAGGGAGGTCTTTAGCTTAATCTAAGAGTTCTGCAGAGGGCAGCTTCAAGTATAAAATTTCAGAAGTGTTCCATGTATTCAGTTTCAGAAATAACATTTTTGAGGGAAATATTGAATTCAGTGCAAAGAGTAAGCTGTCCAGAGCGGGTAGTTATGCATTCTAAGCCTCCTGAGACTGGGACTACCCCCTAAGCCTGGGATATCCAGGAGCCTCATGGAGACCTGACTGAGCTACTCACCTGATCTGGAACAACACAAGCTCTTTGTCCACCTAATATTTCCTCTTCCTAACAGAGGAGTCTAAGTAGGTCACTTCGTTATTGTCTAATCAGGAGCTCTCCGGCCAAATGGCCTCAGAAGCTGCTGGCCTCCCTTATTAGATACACCTCAGTCAGTTTTACCTTGGGCCACGCCATGACTGATGGGTTTCTGTTCTCATCAGTTAAGGCCAATGTGGAGATGTTGCTTTAATTCAACGCACAAGGCATGAACGGCAGTTTGTTTATAGAAAGGATCTCTAGGAGTGGCTTTCCTGAGAAGGGGACTGTGGGCATGGTACGGTCCTCTAAAGCCTCAGGGGGTCTCCTCCAGATGTGGGGGATCCATCTGATTAATTTTAGAAACTGGCTAATGGCTTATTGAATATGCCATGGGCTTTTTTGACATTCTGCATTTATCCCATAGCTATATTTGGCCAGACAAAGCATGCAATGTGACAGTCTCTTAATGTCACTTATGAAAAGTGGCCTGTAGAGTTGTCTTTAAGGTGGCTGGATTGCTGGGTAGGCTGTTTTGAGGTGAGCCCTCTGGACATTTTGAGGGAGGTCATTGAAGACCTAGGGTCCTTGATTTTGTAGGATCAGATATGCCATTTCAGTTCGTTTGGAGCCAATCTTTTTAGGAACTGATTCCCAGTGATCCCCTCAGCAGAGACAAAATGCCCTCCACCTGACCAAGTTATTATTTCATCTCAGAGAATATAACTGGTAACTGACCAGCCCTGGTCATATGCATAGGTACTTTCCCCACCAGGGGAAAAGGCATCCCCAGGAGATCAAATTAAAGATCAGAAGGCTTAGTGAATATTGAATTCGATCAAAGGGACTTGAGTGTTCTTAAGGGATTTCTCTAGCAGGCTGAGGAGGCCTTAAGGAATCACATCCCTTCCCTCCAGAGTTGTTTCAGTCTGGATAACTGATTTGGATTATTCACCTCAAAGCGTTCAGAGACCTTTCTACATCTTGGTTTCAGTTAACTCACTTGCTGCTTCCCTTCACGGGACCGTTTCTCTTCCACTCACGCCATCAACAGCCTAGTTTGGAGTTGAGAAGAGCAGGGTTGGAATCTCAGCAGTAACACTTGTTGTGTGACAGTGAACAACATTCAGCCCCCTCACACTTCAAAATCCTCAAAGTTAAAATGGGAATCGTCAGAGCCTCCTTGCCAGCTTGTTGGAGGATTAATGAAATGAAGTTTCTGGCACCGGGTCTGCCATAGCGTAGCTGCTCAGCGAATGGTAGCTATTCCGATTATTGACATTATGTAGATTTATTTCTCCTAGCCGAGACACACCAGCACACATCACCTACAAATTGACAAAACCGCTCCAAAGGCTTGTTAGTTCTTTAAGATGTTAATCCTGTGTTACTGACATCATGGTGGTTAATTTTATATTGATATTTTTTATCCTGAATTTCAGAGACTGACATTTTATGACCTTATCACTAATTGTGAGGGTGTATCCAATTTGGGACTTACAGTCATCCATGAACTATATGAAATTTAGTAATGCCTGTTGGGCTTTCATAGGTCAAATATCTGAGATCTGATTCTCTTGTGGAACAAAGCAGACTCTAGTAAAGATTGGCAAGCTCCCTACAATTAATAAAAAAAAACATGTCCTTCAGGGGATCCCTTAGAATTTTCCTCATTTGGAGTCGTAGCTGGCCTCTTGTTCTGTTTTACAAAGAGAGGGCAAACTCATTAATGTTTTTGGATCCTACAGTGTTGAGATATTTCTC